AACAAACCAGTCAGTTTGACTTACTCTGATTAGTCTGAGTAGATGTATATTTGTTTGATTGTTTCCATTACATAGTCCTAAATGAATATAAAGCTTTTTTTATTAAAACTGTTTTGTTTTGCAGGATCTGAATGATACCCCTTACCCTTCTGCCACCTTCCTACCCAGAGAAAGTGTTTTCTTTTCATCTCAGTTGGAAGAAGAATGGAGAAGGGACAGCAGTCCTTTTGGAGTACAAATACCTCGACGAAAGAAGCCAAAGTCTAGTGAGACTTTTTTTAAGATTGTTGTTTGAATGAAGTTATATTAGCAATGCTTAACAGTGAAACTTTTCATAATTTTTATACATTTTTTTCACAATCTACAAAATACAAGTTTGTCAATAAATTGAGTTACATGGTTTTATAATACTTGAAGTTTTACTACCATTTTTTTTAATAGTAATGCATAGAACTGATTTTACAAGACTCTTTAAATGAATAGTGGGTTTAATAGGACACATTTGTGGTTGATTATTGAAAATAACTGTTAAGTTGAAATGTATATCTAGTGTTGCCATTCAAACCTAGGAAAATTGTTTTAAAGGAGCATAGGGTTTTGTTTAACTTTATTGATCAATTATTGACAATAAATCTTTTTCAATAGCATCCTGTCAAATTATCTTTATTAGAAAATACATATATGTAAGGGTTAAATTTGTTTCGATTATAACATAGGACTAGAAAGAAGATTCACATTGTAAAATATGATGCATTTTTACTGAAACATTTGTCAAATCCTGCATGCTTCCTTTTACAGTTCGACATATTTCTCTTACAAGGCCCCTTACATTTACTTGTTACAAGTGTTAGGAAAATGATAAAGCTGTGTAGGGCTGGCTGAACTTGAAAATAGAAACCAAACAAGATAGGATGGAAGTGGACATATCACTTAATGTGGCTAATGATCGCATAGCAGACTAAGCTGTTTTGACTTTACGTGGGGAACAAAATCCCTACATTACTGGCTTCCCCACTTTGTCTATCAAAAGCTTGGTGTTTGAATAGAATCTCAGCTTTCATCATTATACCTTTTCTTTAGTTAACTTTAGAATACTACTTTTATGACTGTTTTACAATAGAGTAACATCTTACGATTGGAAATTATGAATCTATTTGTTTTGCCAGTAACATGGATTTCATTCAACGTGTAAAGTTGATACGGCTTAGTCTGTTCTGTGATCATTAGCCAGAGCAGGTGGTTTGTCCACTTTCATCCCTGTCTTGTTTGAGACTTTTTTTTACAAGTTCAGTAGCCAGCCCTACATAACTTTTTATTTAGCAATAAATGTTTTTTCTAATACTTGTTTACTTGTTTTTAAGATGGTGTACGTGGGTTACAAGGTGTTTGTATATTCTAGAGGTTTATAAATTTTCCATAGAATAATAATAAAATACCTAGTCAAAGATTGTGAAGACTGTTTATTTCTATCAAATGATGATAAAATTATAGTTACTGCTAGAACTAGGTAGGTGCTAGGCCTATTGAAGAAAGATGATGAAGAACAAAAATATGAAATCTCGGTTTTGGCTGTTTGCCTGATTTCGACTTTGGGATGCTCTGGATAGCTGAAAAGCAGCATATACACTAGAGATAGTTACTATGTTAGGTAGTAGTTAATAACTAGCTTTTGATGGCCTGTACTGCTTTAATACAGGAGTCTGTGACATCCCTACGTAGTTTTTTTCACAGTACATTATTAAGTGTTATAGATATGCCCTCCTGAATAAGTATCGTGTCTCAGATTATAATGCTGTTTAATATGTAGTACCACTTGTAACAATCTAACAATGCTACTTACTAGGCCTAACAAGGTAACGTACATCTCTCTGGAGATCTGAAGCCAATATTTTCTCTTCATATTGTTTGAAAAAGTCAACTACTGAGACTGATAAACCTATCAACTGTATTCAGTATCCAACTAATTTATAAAATGAATGTTATGTTACTGAATTAGACAAAAGGTCTTTAATAATTAGAGTACACGTTGCTAGATGCTTGTAAGGGTTGTAAGAGTGAGTTCACACTGTAAACACAAACCTGTTTCGATTGGTCGGGGGGGGGGGGTGATGTTGTTTTCTCCTAATTTGTTAGTATGTAAGTTAAAGTTTTAAACTTGTATGTGTAAAATGCTGTGGAGTTATATACGATTACCAGTGCAGAGTGACTTATCCTTAATAATGTGTAGATTAGGCCTAAACACAATTTTTATTGGCTTACATGATAGTATGTATTTGTGATACTGACTTAACAATGCTAGCAGCAAATTTCAAGATGGTATTCGGATGCATTTGCTGTTTCTGTTGTTCTCTTAACTGATTTTCTTTCATTGCAGGAGTTCTGTCTCAGAAACGACCCTGCACTTTTTATCTCGAAGGAAACTGTCTCCGTAAGGACTGCAGATTTTCCCATGACCTGTCTCAGATTACCTGTCGTTTCTGGGAAGAAAGCTCTTGCTTTAAAGGTGTTACCTGTCCCTTTCTGCATGGATATCCCAGGTAAATTACCTTGTAATATGGTACCTTTGAAATATCAGTGTTGAATAATTTGAACTCAACCAAAAAAACTTAAGTTTTCAGTCCACTAGGGTTAGGGGAATACCCTACAACTTATCATAAATGAAAGATTTCTTTGATTTTACTTGTTTTGACATAACCTCCAGTATATATGGTTCTAGACCTACATATTATAAGTGTGCTAGATTGGAGGTGTGGTCAGTGAGTTTGTAAAGCTTTGAAAGATAACTTTAACCTTAAATTAAAGGCCATCTGGTATTTAAAGTAAAAAAATGACTGTTATTTACCTGTTCTATACATGTAACAAAGAACAGCAACATGTTACATGAATCTTATCAAATAGGAATGTTCTAAAACTAAATAACCTAATTCTAAGATTGTACGCCGGTCACTCT